CCCCGATCAGCCGGCAGTTATTCTTCTCGGGCACTTCAGTCCACAGGTTCATGAAGCCAGCGGTTTCGCCGGCCCAGACCACTGGCACAACGTGGTCGCCCAATTTTACGACGTCGCGCACATATCAACTAAATCAGCGCTCTACTCCGACTACATGAGCGACCCTGAAAGTGTTTCCAAGTATTTCGTCGACCCAGTCCTTGCCAGCCCACTTGGCCATGAACTTCTTAGCGACGTCCTTGTTGCCTATTTCCAAGCGCAGATTTGCTCTGCTTGGGCTGTCGCCACCGGAAGTTCTTACGACACAGTGCCTAATAGATTAGATGAAAATGGTGGGCTCGGCGATGTCCATGGATTGTTTGGCGGAGTAGGTCAGCGGAAAGGAGTACCGGAGCCCGGAGACGAGGGCAAGGAAGAAGTTGACGCCGAAGGAAACAGGGTCAAGCCTCAGTTGCTTCCACCTACCAGCAACGCGTACGTTCCTCCGCTCCATGTTCCTCCTGGTAGGATCAACACGCGTCCCAAATCGGATGTGCCATTCGAGGAAATTACGCCGTTCTGTGTTAGTGCAAACGATCTCATCAACCCACTTCCTCCGTCGCTGTTTTATGGTTCTGGATGGTATGCAGCACACCCGCAGACCGGTAGCGGTGCCATGCAGGCCACAAGCCATTACTGGTATTCTTCGTTGCCGTTGAGCAAGATCAGGATTCCTATACAGGTCGGCGCAGGAGATATCGGGCTATACTATCTCCAAGAACCAATATCTTCCGTTGGAGCAGGAAGCGCGGTGGAATGTTGGGTAGACGATAATTACGTAGGAGCCAAGGTTCTAGAGAATGCCGCCGAGATTGAGGAGCCAACAGCAAAGTGAGCATGGCAATTTTTACCGCGCGTTGATAGCTAATGGTTTGGCAGACTCGATATCATCGACCACTTTGTGAGCCGTGGCTCACATTTTATAGAATGCCAGCTATTGGGAGAGGAAGGGCAGACGGTACCTGCATTCAAGATCATAGGTATATTTGCAACATGATCGATTGTATCTCCTTCGGATTATATTATGGGGACATTTCTTTCATCTTCATTACACGACGGTTATTATTGTCAGATCTGCTACCCACCACTTTCAGGTATTTGTAGCACGCGTGATGATGCATTTGACGTTTTCGTTTGGGGGAAGTTGTTGGACGTGGCGAGTTGAACGTTCAACGTCCAACGCTTGGTCTCCTGTTCCACCCTCTGAGACTTGATAACTTTGTCATGTTGGCATGTTCCGGCGCCGGTTCAATTCACGGTTCGAATGGCTCTCTGTGGTTGCTCGGTGTTCTCGCTAAAGCTCTCCTGCAGCATCCGGCACAGGTTCGATCCCCGGTCGTGGTTTTCTATTCGCGTTTTTCCTTACCATTTCACAGCCATTTCATCGCACAGCTAGAAGCACAATACACAGGCGTCCGCTAGCATCTGAGTGGCATCAAGACTGAATGGCTTACTCAATGCTTCCACCTTTGAAAGCAACACCGAATAAGCCTCATCCTCGTCGAAACAGACTTGGATGGGCACTCAGCCAGTGCGGGCGTCTTCGGTCTCAGTCTCTCGTACAACGGCAATGTTGAGGTCGCCTTTCTCAGAATATACGGTCACCGCCGCCATACTGGCTCACGTTGCGCTCGGTCCGGAAAGACATCATTGCTATATCGTCCAGGGTATCCTGCATCTTCTTACAAGACACATCGCCAATGCCAAGGTCATTGATCACTCCACCGAAGAAGTTCTTCAGGTTTGGGAGGAAATCACGGTATCGTTGGCAGCAGCTGGAACGATCCACTGTTGGGACAAGTTCTCGGGCGGTATAATCCACAGTTGCAAGTCGAACTTTTCGCCAGTGGATGCAGCCCGAGGTCGTTCCGGAAGGAATGTCAAGAGCTCCTGGATGTTGGCGGGACATGTGGTAGATCCTGGACATCGTTCATGAATTCATCAGCTGTGGTCAATGGAGATTGGCCCTGATTTCGATGTGGGGGATGCCACGTGGGTTGCAGCAGCAGCAACAGGACTAGGCGGTAAGAATTGATGGGCGTCATAGTCGAAGGCGATGGTGGTGATGGAATTCCCCGTCATTCAGGGGGGAGCAAACGTTATGGGCCATTTTTGGGCCACCAAATGCATCAAAAGTATTTATAAAAGTTGTATTAGCATTAAAAGTATAAAAGATACCTTATTCCCGTTCAAACGGGCAATGGGGGTAGGTAGGCGACTATGCGATGGACCGGTGAGTGTCAGAACAAGGCCAGAAGAAAAAAGAAGGGGCACAGCCACTCGATCACTCAGTTCCATGGACCGGAGTGATCGAGCGAGCGGAAAGGATGCTCGGGATGCATCCACTGCTCCGAATCCATAAAAACCATCAGAATATAAGATCAGAGTGTTTTATTATACATTCATGTACTTTTTGATATATTTAATCTGTCCCAACCTTGATTAACCTGCGCTTTATGGTGAGTATCACGCATTTTAGGACATTTGCAAGAATATATCCTTTGTACATAGGTATGCGTAGCTTTCCTAAGGGACAGATGAGTTGAATGTGCGATAGTATGCACGCATAAGGGTAGGTACATTTGTTGACATATAGTATCTAAATAAGTACAGACAACACTTCTTTGGGCTGTGTACTCGGGTTTGAGCATGTACTGTGAGGGATACCTTTTACAAGATGTTGCACATGCATTGCTTTTTGCATACTTTTAACATCATAATTCACAATCATGTTCGTATTTTTTAAGGTCTGGGACTGAGAGGCTTTTCATTAATGAAACTAATTTCCCTCCCTTACAGCTTTTCGTTATTAGAATTGGGCCTTATGAATTGCGATGTCAACGTTGTATCAGGTGGTGCAGACATCGAGAGTTCCCCATGAAATTCCAGAATCGTGGTCTCTAGCCAGTATTATGAATTAAATCTAGTGAGAGAAAAAAGAACGATCGGTGGCAAGTAGAGAGTCACTGTGAATGTCACCGCGGCCCGGGATCCGGCGTGTGCTCCTCTACCTCCGTCTATCACCATGGCACAGAAACTCGTTCAATTAATATACATTCATGGCTTTAAAGGTGCTTAATCTTCGTCTAGACATTAACAAAACTATTTATATGAATTCCAGGCAACGATACCACATTCCAGGTCCGTCCATCCCACCTTGGAAACCGTAGTCTCGTTCAGCATGCTGTGTAGTCATTTCCCGTTGATCTACAGGAATACCTCGAAGCTCAAATACCCCCAGAGCTCAATATCCACATTAAAAGCAGCATATATCCCACGTACAAGAGCGTCAAGCCTATCTCACATGCTACCAAGAACTTTCTCGAGTGGTAAGCGCCTACCGCGCCTTCGACTGCTGTTAGGTGCTGACTGTTTGTGTTACCCAGGTTAACAACCCAACCCCCAGGACCTGTGATTCTCCTCGGACACTCTATGGGCGGTCTCTTAGCCGCTGAAGCCGCAACACATACATCTAACAATTTCGACGGATACAGGCCGCGTCGCATCGTCGCAATGATAGCCTTCGATACACCCTATCTTGGCATGCACCCACATGTTGTCATAACCGGAATCGCATCCCTCTTCGCTGACGACGACAAGGATAAGAAAACGGAAAGCGAAATGAACGAACACCCTAATGTTCAAATCGTTGATAGCGGCGTTACTGACGAATGGGAGACCTTCCGGAAGAACATAGGCGGTATGTCGCTCAGTCCATACGTCACTCCCTGTAATCATGTGCTAGACGGATAGGCCGGACATCATCTTCCTCCCTGCTGCTCTTCCCCTCCCACTCATCTTCGACTTCACCTTCCCGTTCGCCCTCGCCCTCCCTTATCGACCAGACGAAGAGCTTCCTAAACTCGCACGCCGACGATCCCTTGGTTCGTTGGGCCCGTAAACACTCGGATGCACCCTTCAGCGCGAGTAAACGCTGGCTCGTTGAGCATTTTCAATTCGGCTCGTGCATGTTCGATCCTGCAGAGTTGAAAGCCCGGTACACAGCGCTTGTTAAATGGAATGGCGGCTTATGGGTGAACTATTGGACACAGACAGTACCGCAAGTACGGGAGGACGGTCATGCAGAGGAGGCCGACAACGATGTGGCCTTGCTTCGAACAGGCATAACGGAGACTCCGTCGACCACTTTATCAAATTCCTCTACGTCTTTACCTGAGCTAGGTCCCCGAACAGCCTCGGAGACGAAGGCGGCGAAGAAGGATAACGAGAAACATCTGAAGAAGTTGAAAAAGCAGAGAGAGAAAGAGGCGAAGAAGGGGAAGGTTGGACGACACTTCATCGTTCTGCCGACAGGGCTGGGACAAGTCCTCGGCGGCGGGGAAAAGTGGGAGGAGGTACGGATTGGTGGTGTCAAGGACGAGGTTGGAGCGCATTGCGGTCTGTTTATTCGTGGACAGAATTTGGATTATGATGGACTTGTAGATAGGGTAAGTAGAAAGATTTTAGGGTGGTGTTATACGTTGTAGCGCTAGTGTAATTTGTCTTCGTTTGTAGGTAGAAATAGATGTATGAATATTCAAGATGGCTGATAGCATACAATTTCGGTGTTAGGGGCTGCATCACAGCGATGCAAAATCGAATAAAAAGTCGAGTTAAACTTTGAGCAACCATGCATTGCGTCAAATTATGACTGATGCCCATCACTAGTAACATTAATTGCCAAACCAATGACGACCCATATAACGCGCTGAAGGATATAATGGAGGAGCTTGCATAGAAATATCTTCTGCTAGTCCCGGAATCCCACACTCTGAGGCTTTAAAGTGTTGAAATAGGGAGCTCACGGACAAGTCCAGTGCATTCTTCCCCCTAGAGGTTTTTTGTATTCAGGGGCCAAGACCCAGGGTGTCTCGACTGAGTCGAGTCAGTCAACTCCAGTCTATCGTTAACTCGTTCGAATCTTAATCTCCTCAGTCTAAAAACGAAAACGGTCAACGAAGTGGACACTGTGGGAATTGAACCCACGACCTCACGCAGGCAATCGAGCATGCAAAGCGTGCGCGCTACCAACTGTGCCAAGAGCCCTACATTAGTGGTACTTGGCTATCACAGGCGGTGCGGACGGCTCGTAAAGCTTGCAGGGCTCTTTGTACAGCCTGTATGATGAATTGATGCTTGCGTATATTCGTACAGAATAATGGAGTAATGACGGAGTGAGGAGCACACCCTACTCATTCAACCTGAATGTAATCCCCCGTGGAACTCTGATGCGATGATGACGCCCCCTTGGGAGGCTTGATGACCAAATCCAGCTGCTGCCTGTAAGATTGGTGTCAGTCTCAAGCATAAAGGCAGCGAGGAGAAAAGGCGTAGAGACGACAATACTCACAGCCGCATCCTCAGTAACAGCTTTCTATTCGCCGAATGCATATCATTCCCAGCCTTGATGGCGCGCGCAAACAAATCTGCCCTGTGATCAACCTGTTTGACCTGTAGAATCTTCTCGGGACGTTAACATATAAAAAAGGGAGGTTGGTTACAAGACATACTTTGTTCTGACTATCCACCCTCCCTTGGATATCCCCTGATTGAATGAGGGTAACCACCTGGTCCTCCGTCTCGTCCACGCTCCATCCAAAAGCTTGACTCATCCTATCGAGACGAATAGACGAGAACGGCTGGAAGTATAGCACCACGGCACGGTTTTTGATCGCGTTCATTAAAGCTGGCACATGCGAGGTGAGATGGATGTCGATATAGTGACGAGTCTGAAGCATCAATCAGCAGGAGAATGTAATGCAAGGGAAAAGAAACGCACAGAGTACCGCGATAGGAGGTCAAGTACAGTCTGGAACTTGCTGGCCATGTACGCCTCGATAAGTTCACGAAGATAGGGCTCCTGCTCGATGTACACGCCGAACGAGGGGTTATCCAGCACCTGAGCCTTGAACGCACCCCGAGAGAGACTCGCCATTGCGCATATAGTGCCGTATATAGCGATGTCACTTGGGCTGATGAGCCTCCCAATCCATTCACCAAGATCTTTCGTCGACCCCAGCCGCAGGAGGCTGTACGACGCCTTCCCGTAATTGTCCTGTCCCAGATACGACAAGGCAGTAGCCAAGTCGAGCTTTGACTGCACTCTACCCCGTTCGGGGGAGGACTTCTTCGCACTGGTTGAAACCATTGGTGCAGGGATGTCTTTATTGGCAGAAGCAGAGGCGGCGGCTGTGGCTGCGTCCAAAGCGGCTTCAGCTTTGAAGACGTAGGTAGGTAGGTGGCCGTAGTTTCTTTGCTCGATGAGAAGCTCGAGGACAGAAAGGCACATATCGAGGACGTGTTGGCTTGTCGTGCAGTATTCTCGGGATTTTGTATAATGCTTCAGCGACGTGGCGTACTCTCCGATGACTCGATAAAAGTCGCCCAAGTCGCGATGCGCCATCTGCACAGCCGTTATAAATCGTCAAGTTGACAGTCAAATACTACGCACCCGAATGCTCTCCTTGATCATGTTATTCGAGTATGTTTTCAGCTCCGTCTCAAGCTTCAATCGATCCGACTGGTTCCTAGCAAGGGTCTCGTCAATCCATCGAGCGCTGAGGGAAGAAAATTCAGATATCGGCGGAAGGGACCCATTAGAATTCGCATGAGCCTGCTCGTACGCCGTTACGAGGCCTTGGTACTGAGACGGGTCGCGAGATTGGTGGATATGCTGGATGGCTAGGTGGAAAGCATCAACGGCAATCGTTGGGCACAGTTGAATTATATGGGTCAGGCGGTCCACGGCAGTACGCCCAGAGTAATTGGATATATAGCTCTCAAGGTCAAAAGGATGCGCGTCGTCCACCGGGACGGTGAATGAACGTTTGGGCTGCGAGGTGCTGGCCTGCGTATTCTCTTCAGGTACATCGATATCCATCTCGCCGAATCTCTAGGGCTGCTGCAAGCAATTTGTTGGAAGAGGTGGTGGTGGTAATGGGCGAGACTGGGCGAGACTTCAACCGTTACGTGAGTTTGAGAAGTAAATCATGAATAGCGTAATCTGAAAATTTAGTATGGGCACTTGGCACAGTTGGTAGCGCGCACGCTTCGCATTAAGTTTGCGTGAGGTCGTGGGTTCAACTCCCACAGTGTCCATGGTAATTAGTTTTTATGCTCTTTTCTGCTGGAGAGCGATGGTCATAGGCATGACAGTTGTAAATGTTAAGAGTAGTAGTATATAATGTATACTTACGAGACCTCCGGGGGATGTAAGTCAGAAGTAAGTTATTGCTTGTAATTTTATTTCTATTCGATACGGTGATTTATCGTAGATGCACATTATATCATTTGCACGTCGCCGCAGAAGTCTTGAAGACTCTTTGTTTTCATATTTTCAGGTGTCACTGTGGCTTAAAGTACAGGCATTGATGGTTGGAGTTAGAAACCACAAAGTACGTGAACAATGCTGGATGAACCTTGGAGCACAGGCCCACAGCAATGTCGTTAGTCGAATCTCGGAATGAGGACGCGATTTCTCAGGCTCTATAACTCTTTATACTCAACACGCTTGACAGGCCGTGATAAAATTCGAGTGAGATATTCGCAGCGGTCTAGTGCACTCCCTATATACGAACACAGCAAGCACAGAAATAGCTTGAAGGCACGCAAGGTGCTCCGAAGGGATCAAACAATCAAACTTGTGATAAGCAACCTGAGAGGACAGGAAAGCGGCATGTAGTAGGGATGGACTCTAGCTGGCTGAACTAATTAGGACCACGCGTGGTGTTCACCTCTTCGTTCATCTCAACATTCGAAACGTCTTCGCCTTCTTCTTCTTCTTCTTCTTCTTCTTCTTCAATAGTCACCGCTTGGGAGCCATACGTGATCCCTGGCACAAATGGCCTATCCGGAATGGCACCAACGCCTGGAATACCGTGAGCCCAATCAAAGCATGTTGGATCAAGACTCCAGGATGGCATCATTTTTTTCAGAAGAGCAGCAGATGCCGGTGTCTTGTATGGGTGCTCTTGAAGGATTGTACTCAAGGAGAGAATCGTGGAATATGTATCCTGCTCGTTTGCGTCGATAGCCTTGTAGACGGAAGGTGAACAGCCAGAGATATTTATCGTATACCGAGGGTGTCCTTTCCTGTCGGACTGCCGTGGAAGTTTCGTTTCAGTGTCCAATAGTCTTTCAATCGCACTTGAAGGAGCCAGTGGTGTTGTGGGTGACCCTTGCGAAGACGATGATACCACCGGGCGTTGACTCTCAGCAAGCTGCATAGAAATGACGATATAAGGCACGTCAATATCCGTATCCTCGTCCAGCCAAAATCCAAGCGCTTCCGCACTGATAGTATCGTTCCTCCCGTAGAACTTCCGCTCGTCCTCGACAGATATCATGATACCCGAGCGTTGGAACCGGTCAAGCGGTAGCCGGTCGACATCAAAATCTGGACGCGTCGCCTGCTCTTTGGGAACGATGAGAAGAGGAATGAAGATATCGACGAGGGAATGTCCAAAGGAGCATTGATAAGCCATGCCACGGATGAACGCCGCCATCCCAAAGCCATAATTGATAGCATCAGAAGATCCAGCGCGTCCAAAGTGGGTGAAGTGCACGTATGCGTACTCGAACGCCTCAGCAAAAGTCGCTCCTCTCACCCGATCATCAGCCATGCTCTGAAAAAGCTTGGGAAGATGCTCTTCAGGAAGAAGGGCTGCTAAAAAGTCCATCAGAAGGATAGGTCTCGAATAAACGGCCTGGTTATGACGGTGGGAATCCGGCATCGTAGGATGTTTCTTGTCCAGTAGCAGTCGATGTATTGCCGCATCCCAGGCTTTCGTAAGGATAATTCTGGCAACGAGTTGGCACCTTTCATCATTATCGAGGAGATCGTCTTCAAAAAGGCGGTGAACAACTTGCACCATGTCAACTCGTTCCTCATATATGGAAATGGCAGCTGCTTCCGCCAGGATCGGCTCCGAAGGATACCCGGACGTCGTATACTCCCCATGGGCTGGAGCGGAGAACATCATCCGCATGTGTGCTCTCACCATCTCCTCTTGCAGCCGGCGAGACTCCTCTCGACGAGGTTCATATTCAATCATAACCCTGATATCCACTAGAGCCATCTTGAACACATCGAGCTCTCCCCACAGTCTGCTCCCGGACATCACAGTCCCAGGCTCACGCATGTGAATCCCAAATTTCGGCATTGCTGTACAATCCTTGTGTGTCAACTTGGTCCGAGCCAAATATATGATCCACTGTTCCAAGGCGCCCGCAGCGAGCATTGTATGCCACCTAGAGCGTTAATATTAATTCAGCGCAATGAAGGTCAGAAGAACGTGAAACTTACATCGGCCGTCCAAAGCGAGCAAGGTGCTGGATGCTCCGTATGCGTTCAAACGTCAGCTCGGGATCGTTGAATCGGATATTCGCACAGACATCAAAGGGGAGAATGGTAAACGGTGCAGGCAAAGTGGCTGTGATGTTGGTTGCCCGGACTAATATACTGTTGGACATGGGCAAGCTCAGCGCCGCACTCGTCGACATGAACATGATGAAGTGGTCGGGATCGTCGAGATAGGCCATCGCTGAGCATAAAGAGGCATAGTTACTTTGCGCGCTGATGCCCCTTCGGATCAGGGTATGAGCCTCGTCAATATAAATCAATAGCTTTAATTTCTTGCTATGGTCGACGGTCACCGTGTTGATCAGATCCCGGTAAGCGTCCTTGGTGCGCCGTACGAGTTTCTCTTTTTCTTCGGAAGGCGCATCCCACACTTCGAACTATCAGAACATCAGCATCGCACATGGCGTAGCGTAAACGGTGAATCTCACTCTTCGAGCCTCACTGCAAATGGTATCATATAGAGTGTCGCGATAGAGGGGTTCATCCAGATAACTTCGCCAGCGGAGTGCTGTGTCCTCCCCGGGTTTGTCTCCCACTAATACCATGAGGACTTCCCGAACTTTCTGGAACAGGATGTACAAGAAACACAGGTATCGAATCTGTAGGTCCCCGTATTCAGAAATCAAGTAGTCGCGAAGCTCGATGTCTGGGTCCGGATAGGCTGTCACAAAGTCAGAGGCAATGA